GCTACATTAAACTCACAACAAGAATGTATCTCCACGTTTTCGCGTCCTCAATAGTGTCGCATATGGTCACCGACAACTTAATAAACACCTGGCGCGGCGAGTCTCGATGTGCCCTATTACCGCTCAGCAGACTGCAGCCAACGAGGTCGTGGCATCCGCCGAAAAGGACGACGAAGAACGAATCGCCAAGCCAGTAGCATGCTCATCACACCCTGCGTTTGTTAAGTTGTCACTGACGAAAATCGTGCGTCTTCTTGCGCATAGTTTACAAATGTGTAAACAAAAATCGTGACAATTTTCGTCACAAAAGATATTGCAGATGATCAGCGAGGAGACAAGCAAAAAATTAATACAAGAACGAGGTTGTTAATAATCCTCCAAAAGAGAACCAGTTCGGGTAAATAAAAAGAAAACGGCTATTACATTAGTTTTTTTTAGCAAGTTCTCGGAAAATCCAGTTCCTAATCGCAACTTTAACCCCGGGGCATTTAATTCCCCTTTTTCCTGTTCCAGATTTCGGCCTCCAGGTCACGCCACTTTTTGCTGCACACTTGCGTGGGCGGTAGACCTCCGCTTCTCTCATTCACATTTATTCCACTAGGTGGCGTCGCCTTCTTGGACTCGCCCATAGGCATTTTCTTATTAACTGATGGTAAGGAAGTTTTATAGCCTCACTTTCTTTGCAGTGCGGAGTGAATATAGATTTCGCATTTAAATATTCTAAGCTTAAATGGTAAAACAAAATGGCTAGGTGGCGTAAGCTACCGCCCGATCCAAAGGGCTCAGCCGGATTCATCCATCCATCCATCCATCGCAATTTTTATGTCCGCGGTGCTCTTAAGGCCACACACTTGCATCTACTTACGACCGTGTGCCTTCAAGTCTCTTGGGACCTCTTAAGACTAGAGAACACACTGGAGCCATCTATCGGGTTGTCGTTGAACTGTTTCAGTTCCCGGATATTCACTATGTTTTTCGCGCATCATGCTTTTTTTTTCTTGGTTCGAAAAACCCTCTGATAATGTTACAAACGACCATTTCTCATAGATGGTACGTACATTTGTTCTCGGAAGTACCGCAAAACCTCCGCTCTAGCGAAATGCAATTCTAGCGTCACCTCACAGATGGCGCCAGCATGCCAGTGTGTTTTCTCGTCGTGAGAGATCACAAGAACGTGGTCGTAAGCAAACACAAATGTTTTAAGGAGCCTTGGAAACACGATCAATAAATCCTCTTGGAATCAGTTTACTCAATGAAAAGGGCGTTTGCTATAATTCTCTAATGGCCCATGCAGGCAATGTGACAAAAAGGTACCCCTGCCTGCCGTACGGCATAGTCTTTGCGACGCCTCAACACTACGCGGAGAGCAAGTTCGTCTGCTCCTTAGCAAAAGTTGTAGTGACGTCAAAAAGACGCCGAACTTTGATTGGCTCTGATTGAAGGATAGTGGGTAGAGCTCAAGACATGCTTGCTTTGAGGTCTATATACTCACTATCCTTCAATCAGAGCCAATGAAAGCTCGGCGTCTTTCTCATGCACGTCACCGCAACTCCTGCAAAGGAAGCAGACGAACTTGCGGTCCGCATAGACGTTCCTGCTTGGCCGGGCTCGTGGAAAGAAGCTGATGGATGGTTTAAATGCATTTTTAATGGAACCTCGGCCCTAATCCAAACGCCTGATCGTTCGTCCGTTCGTTCGTTCACCTTTCAGTGCACTTTCACGCTCAGTTCAGTCGGAAAATTGACGTCCCCTGACTCCACGGTATCAGCGTGACGCGACGACTGGACATCGTGACGCGATTTCACGTGACATCAATTTTGGGGCTGAATTAAGCGGAGAAAATGGCGTTACGTCACACCACGTCAACTGACCTGACTTGACGCGTCTGATCACGTGACGTTGTGATGGGAAGCCGTGGTGTCACGTGACACCGCAAAGTCACGTGACGCTGGGTCACGTGACGTCAAATGCCCGGGAAAATTTAGCGAGGAAATTACTTAACAATACATTCCTGTTCGGAAGAACGCCTTTAGAGCGCGCGACACTAGAGCGCCGACGTTAGAGCGCAACACGAGGGCGCTGCGACAGTAGCGCGCGCTTGACACTAGAGCGCACCCCAGTTGAGCGAACACCGCAAAATCAATCAATCAGTCAATCAATTATTTTTTTTTTCTTTCACAGGAAAGAAGGTAGCTGGGGCAAAAAGCTGCAACATGTGCAGCTTGACAAGGCCCCAGTTCCAAGACAGCGGCGCGCGTACAGGGCTTTGTTCAAAAATCTAATATAAAATGAAAACATTCTTCAAGTTCAGAAGGGCGAAAAAAAGACATTAACAAGATTCTAATGTAACATATGATATCAATTGACACAGTTCACATACAACACGAAGCCTGAAATTCACAACCTCGACAGTATCAACATTAAAGCTTCAAATGGTAAGCTATGGCTAAGATCTGTTTCAACATTCAGCTTGTTCAAGAAAGATGGAAGTATGTATGTAAGCGATGTCAGTCCACAGTTTGTCCGGGGTTGTGGGTAGACTCCACTCTTCACTTCGCCGTGTGTTATAAACGCCGCTATTTTTTATTTAAATTTGCTATTTGTAGAAAACAACTTTGTTTATTTTTTTGTGCTGTTTTATAAGATACTAGAAGGCGGTAGTAATGTAGGTGTGCTATTCTGACAACATTAAAACGGACCACAAGAGCATTTGTATGGTAAAAATAGGACACATTTGCAACCACTCTTAGAGATTTCTTTCGCAGAGTTAGAAGTTTGTTTATATTTTGAATGGTAGTGATACCCCATACCAGGTGACAATATTGAAAATGTGACTGCACGAGGCCGTGAAAAATTATTAACTTAACAAATGAGGTGAAAACTGTACGGTACCGGGATAGAGTACCAACAGCTTTTCTGGCTTTTTTATGTATGTATTCTATGTGCTCGTTCCATGATAAATTATCTGAAAAGATTACACCTAATATCTTGAATGATTTTACTATCTCGACTATGGTGATATTTGAGTTGTACCCGCTGCTCCGCAGAAAAATGTGAGGATGTACCCGCTGCTCCACAGACAGAACAAAATTGTGCGACCCATCGGATCGGAGCAGGGGTGATTTTTGATTGATTGAATATGCCGTTAATAAAAATATAAAAAAAACGGGTACGACTTTTTCTAACCAATTGTTTACTGACATCAGAGAAAAAAGGGGGCGGGAGAGTGGGACACATAGGTACCGGGAATGTCTGCAGTTGGGTGGAGCAGCGAGTCTAAGGTTTCTTCACGGTGCTGCGGTGCGCCTCTCGGACATGCTATATAAATAGTTTACTTTTTGCTATAGTTGGTCTATTCGTGACAGACATTTGGGCTCCGATCTATTTGGTGTCTATTTAGACGTCCCTCGCATAAGTTTAAATGGTATTCTGATCTCCATGTCCGCAATGAAGAAAGCTCACTGCTAAAAAAAGTATCAGTAAAAAACTCATCGAAGCAAAACTCAGCGCAATTTTATCTAATGCAGAACTTTCCAGCCTTTTGACGGATACAGGAAAACCTTCCCTGCAAATCTGTGAAATATATTTGAGAATTTTATTCCAAACTCCTCGCTCGTTGAGGCGTCGGTTACGGTGACGACGTCACCTCCTGTTGTTAAAGGAGCACAATGCCCTTTCTGCATGTCCCAGAAAACAGCCTACAAAGAAAAAAGACGTGTCTATCGCTTTGTCCGTTCTTTGCATTCCACTGAACCGTAGCTTCATCACCTTTGTTCTTAGAAAGTAGTTCAATCTTCTAGGGCCGAATGCGAGTGCTTTGATTCAGAAATATGCGGATACCAAAGATTTCAGAAATATATGAATGTCGAAGAAAAAACCGCAGCACAAACAGAAATAAGAGTTCGAACAGAAGAGTGTTAGACATGAATATTGACCGAACTTCTACACAAGGATAGTGCCACAGGTAGTAAATATAAAGGATTGATTGAAGGATTCGTGGGTCAGCTTATTTCCGACAAAAACGTCTCCAGAGACAGAACCAATGCGTGAAAATCTATAGCGGCCAGACTCCAAGAAGCGCACAGGAAATGGTGCCTGCCACACCGGATGCTGCCCGTCTCGCCCCAGCGCTCTATGCATCTACGGTGACATGAACGTATATTTCATTTCCATTGTCAGCACAGGTTCCCGGATTAAGCGCGTCATAAGTCATTTGTGACAATATGAATGGTTGGCGTATGCCACTTGGCACGAGAGCTCCTTTCCCGAAATTGGTCTTAAAAACCCCAGAATACGGTTAAGCATGTTACATGTTGCTTCTTTCCTTTCAAACGTGTTAAAACAATTCAAAATAAAAATTAGTCAGGTCGGTGGTGAACTTTATCAATTAAAATAAAAAAAAACTAACGAAGCTAGGTCAGCAGCGATTTTTTTATTGCGGAAATGAATGCTACTTATATATATATATATATATATATATATATATATATATATATATATATATATATATATATACTCCCGCCCGTAATTTCTTTCACAATAAAACGCCAGAGAGACCATAAAAATATATGTACAAAGTATGCGAGTATACCCATTGTTATCCCTGAATGAACGCGTTAAAAAAAGAGGAGTTACGAACGACGACCATATAGTGGAAACGGCTACTGCTTGATACGAACGAGACGTTCAAAATAACGACAAAACGTGTTAGTTTCAAGCTGAGGTAGCGCGTTCATTTTGAATCCCAGTAACAAGTAACACATTTAGTTACTTTTTGAGCGAGTAACGGGTAACGATATTTAGTTACTCCATTTCAGTAACGTGTACATGTCTAGTTACGGCACGTTCTACGAGAGCGCCAGGAGCCAGCCGCCTTCCCTCGCCGATATGCAGGAGTCAAACTTCAACTTCCAAGGACTCTGTGTCGATCGCGATAACGTATATGCTGGAACCGACGCCGCGGTCTAGACGCGTGACTTCTTTTTTTTAAATATTTTTTCTGCGTGTCTTTGACCTATCGACAGCTGCGTATGCTCGTTACCGGCACCGGACACCGTGTCGATATACGCCTCGCAGAAACGAAACTTGACACCAGCGAAATTTGCATACACTAACAACGTCCGGCGAAGTAGACTCTGTGCGTCCATGCACGTATAAAGAGAGTCGTCCTCGCTGTCAGATGTCGAAAGACTCGAAACCACGTGCGCCCATTCAGCGATGAAGCTTCTGGCTGTGTTTTGTCTCGCGGCTGTCGCCGCAGCAGCCACGACTCAAGAGTCGCGTCCCGAAGGTGAGTTGGAAGCTGTCATAATGTGGATCGGAAGTTCGTCTGCTTCTTTTGAAGGGGTTGTGGTGACGTCAGAACGCCGAGCTCTCCTTGGTTTTGATTAAAAGGATTGTGGGTAGACCTCAATGCTACATGCCTTGAGTCCCACCCGCTATTTGTTTCGATCATCCACTAAGAGCTTGACGTTCTGACATCATCGGAACCCCTGTACAAGAAGCAAACGAACTCACGCTCCGCATATATTTCCTCTTTCTTTCGTGCATCGTTCATTGTTTTATATATATATATTTTTTTTTTTTTTTTGCTAGAAAAAAACATCTTTCGACAATGGGATAGACCATGTATTTCTCATGATAGTACGCGCATTTGATCTCGCGAATTCTACAAAACCTTCACTCGGGTGAAATCCAGTTCCAGGGTTACCTCGTAGACGGCGCTGGCGTGCCAGAGTTTTCTCGTCGTAAGAGATAGCAGGAACTGAGTCGTAAGAAAACGCGAGTAATGGACGGGCCTTAATTGATTTACGCGTTTGCGTCTGAGAGCGAATGCTTTTGATGAGGGAACGGATGTGCACACTCACGCATGTCATGTAGGCCTGGCCCACTTCCGATCTGTGCATAACTAGACTGAGGGTTTTGCAGTCTTTACGAACTCAAATAAACACGCTATCTATGAGAAATTGTGGCTTATAACTTATAACACTGTAAGCATTATTTCAAACCCAGAGTCCCACTCTGGGTTACTCAAACCCAGATACGATGCGTAAAAAGAGGAAAAGGGAAATATACGCCAGATGGAAGTGTTCCTCTGACACCCGATAGATGGCGCCAGTGTACCATACTTGCAAGCAGTCACGGGGGGTCAATTGCTGGATTGCGCTTCCCCGCACCGAAAATGAAGCCACCGTCGGCCATCTTACGAGATATGCTCCAGCGCTGTAAAGCCTAGACAGTTACCATGGTTACCGTGTGTAGGTCACGTGACAACAGAGACACCCGCCGCCTTGACAACGCTTCCGCGGAACCGGTAAGATGGCCGACCGGTGGCTTCAATCGCGCAATGGGCTCGAAGCGGGGAAGCGCGATCCAGCAATTGTCATTGAGATCAGTGAAAGGAACTGTGATAGCCAGTAGAGTCCATTCATTCGTAGGTCCTGAGTGCCCGCTGCTGAAATGCGTCGGTGGTTCTAAGGTGGCCTGCATCGTTGGTGAAGAAAGGTGCAGCTGTCGTTGCGGTGAGGTTAATTTTTTTCTTTTCGTTTTTACCTTCTGGTAGAACCATCAACAGCTTACTAAACGTGCTGCTCCCGACCATCTTATAGGCCGACACGCGGGCCTGACGTCACGCAACTGAGGTGGCGCTGCTATCTGCAGGGCGCATGCGCAGACTTTTTACTTCTCACGAATCTGGTTTCTGCGCAGGCGCAGTGCCCATCCCTCCTGTGAAAACTCCGCGCTTGTCCGCACCCTCGTGGGGGCTTTGTTTGTAACCAGCACGTTGCATGCACAACAACGCCCTGCGATTATCCTGGATCGTTGGCCTCCTCCGAATCAGTTTTATACAATATAACATTAAAGATACTCCCCCTAACGTCATCACTAGTGAATTCATGCGGAGCGGCCGAGCTCGAGGCAGCATCGCGGTAAGTACGGCTTGCAGCGTCTCACACCGGGCGTGACGCAAGCACGCGGTAATACCAAGACGGAAGCGTCTGTCGTTTTGCGGCGACTTGGTGTCGTTTGGGTAAATTGGTTCTGCGACCAATAGACCCCTTGCAAAACCCCGTCAAGCAACGTTGGCGGTCGCCATTTTTGGTGTACGAAGCGCGTGATTGGATCCGAGTCCTCGCCGAACGCTGACGCGACCCTCGTGTCCAATGCACGATCAGAGTTCGTGCCCAAACAATGGCGGACTTGGCAGAGTGGCTACTAGATGGCGCAGGCAGTTTTGGAAAAGGGTCTATGGCCAATATATTATCACTGTGCTTTGCTCGTACTTCACAGTGCAAAGCGAGGACCCGTGCGAGTCTATTCAAGACCAGCCCTGCCTCTTGGGCAAAAGAAACCACTGCACGACTCAAGACATCACGTGCAAGTGTCGTTGTGGTACGTGGTTTCACAACAAACTATCATCACTGACGATTTAAGAAACGTGGATTGGTGCCAATTCCGAGCTTCTTAGGATCAATCCACAGTCAATGATATTGAGGCCATATAAGAACGCCGCATAGGCATCACGAAGCACAAAGCGTGAACATAATACGCTACGCCCTACCTTTCTTAAGCCGTCGATGACTATCCGGAAAGCAAGTCGTCTGCTTTTTTTGCAGGCCTTGCGGTGACGTCAGAACGACGCCGAGTTCTCATTGACTTTGATTGGAAGGATAATGGGTAGACCTCAAGGCAGCTGGCTTTGAGGTTTATCCCCTATCCTTCAATGAGAGCCAATCAAAGCTCGGCGTTCTGACATCACCACAACCCTTGCGAAAAAGCAGACGAACTTGCGCTCTGAATACAGCGCATTGCACTGCGGCTGCCGAGAGATAATAGAGAGCTTTAGGGAACTGTTTTTGCACATGCCATACGGTACGATAGGCCATCCAGTACGCACTGCGCATGCGCCGCCTCAGAAGTCTCTCATATGCGCAGTTCGTACCGGAGGGCCCATATACCATATCGGATGTCTAAAAACAGTTCCCTAAAACTTTCTCTTATTAGGGAGTTTTCGTAGATCGTTTTCGCCGTCCCGCAATGCCCTCCACAACCCGCTACGATAGCGGAAACTCCACAGTCAAGGCTACCGGCGCGCAGGCGCAGTAGCAACTTCTTCGTTGCGGAACGCTTAGCGGAGGGGGCAGCGCGGTCTACGAAAACTCCCTATTAGCGAGGTTTCGTAGACCGCGTTGAGCCCCCCGCTAAGCCCTCTGCAACGAAGAAGCGAGTCTGCGCTTGCGCGCCGATGGCCTTGACTGTAGAGTTCCCGCTATCGTAGCGGGTTGCGGAGAGCGCTGCGTGACGGCGAAAACGATCTACGAAAACTCCCTATTGTAACGCCGCTCGACCCAAGTTGCATGTGTTAGAAGGCAGCGTCTGTTGGAAGCAAAATATAAGCCGAAATCTACTGTGGAGGTGGGATCTTGCAAGGTTTATTTATTTCTAAATTCTTAGAGTCCTTAAGGGTCCTTATTCGAGGACATTGATAATCTTAGAGGCCACATATCACCAGCGTGAGGCAGTATACGTGCAGGAACATCTGAGGACGTCAAAGTGAAACACACACTAAACTTAATGTTAACAACAGAACGATTGGCAATTGTATGGTAAGAGAAACATACGGACATGGGTTCAATCCGCACTTCTGCCCGTTTCGATCTGGATGAGCATCGTACCGGCGTGCGGTCGTGTATCACTACTGCGTGCTGCACGTTAAAGACCCCAGGCTAGCGGTTGTACTGCACTGGCTAAATTGCTCATGTACAGCGTGTGACTCGTCGCAACTTTAATGGCTGACCAACTACACGCTGCATAAATATCCCCATAACCCAATTTTTTTTTACATACGGACAATGTAAAACATTACCGTTCGTAATAAGCGCGTAGCATACTTGAAAAGGACTAAGAATCCAATTGGGATATTGCTACAAAATAAAGAGCGTGATCGTTCAGGGTAGCATACGATAAGGCAGGTGCATGCAGTGAATATTAGTATGAGGAAGAAAAAGAGGAATTAAAATAGCTATCTGAGAGTCGGGAGATTCAGTGGTGGCGACGATCCCGCCCAATCTTTCTGTCACATCTTGTCTATGTGCACAGGAGAAAGTTGTTGCTTAAATTTAATCTGGGTGTCACTGGATCATTGTGCGAATTGCATCTGCTCTCTTTAGTTAGTGGGCATCTTAGCAGCAGAAAAATAAAAACCTACACTCTAAGAAAAAAAAACTGTCCTTGTAAGGTTTTTTTGACACACCAAGAACTCTTTCAGCTAGTGAAGGATGGTTTTGCCTCAATCACTCTCGCCCCCTGGCGCACTAGAAACACAACTGGGCGATGATAAACTTCCGCATTAAAAGAAGGAGCTTAAAAGAACACCTTATAGGAATTCTCACAAAGAACCCTTTTAAGGGGGTGCTTAAAATAAAATATGGACAAGCCGAAGAACCCCTAAGAGTAAATTTTCGATTAAATTTAGGTTGGTCGTAAACTCCCCTATAGGTAACCATTCTTGGCCACCTCCTACCCGATGTGAGCAATTGCGGTCGTCTTCACCAAGGGTGCTTGCTGCCTCCGACGGTAATAAAAGGCCGGCGAATGTGCGTCAGGGGTCGTTGGGTCGTTTGGTCATAGCTAGCAACGATGGTTGGCAAATGATTACTGTAACTATGAACCAGTGCGTTGTGTATTCCTTCAGGAAGGAAAATCTAACAAGCTAGCCAAGATAAGTTTCTTGTGGCCTTCGCAATATTTATTATAACGTTTGTCACTAACAATGTTTTCAATAAAGCGGCTTCGTCTTTTCGGGGTCGCTGGTGCCTACGCACGACCAAGGACGTTGTTTACGAGCACGAGCACACAGTTAGACGGTGGCGCCATCGTTTAGTGTTAGGCTGAAACTGCTCCGACGTCGCTGCACACGAGGGTCTATGAATTGATTTACTGACCGATCGCAAGATGGCAGCACACGTTTTGGAAGTTCTGGGTAGGGAACATTCGCGTAATTTCTGCCGTATTTCTGGAAAGTATTCTCGGTACAGTTTGCCTTTATTAACCTAACAAAAAAGGCACGTAAATATGTAAATGTGGAAAATATTTTACAAATAAAACAATAATATACTTGATACATACAAAATCCAAGAGTGTAACTGCTAACAAAGATATCTATATATATTTTTTTGTAATCTGCAAAGACGATGCAGTATAGTGATATTATATACAATAACTATAAACTGGTTTTGTCCTAATATCAACTGGGACACAAAGAGGTCGTTTGTATATTTTTAGTTTACGACATTAGCATGTTTAGAAGCATCTCAAAATGTTTTATAGGGTTATTTGAAGTGCCTCTTAGATAAACGCTTTTGAGGATGTTCAGTTACCAAAAAAGAAGAAAAAAAAAATGAAAGCCATTCACAACTCCCTGTAACGCCGAATTAGAGCGCAGCTCTTGAGGAGGAGGAGGGAAGGGTACTGAGGTTCACGTGTTATCGGGGGGGGGGGTGGTCACATGACCTTGGAGGGGTCACATGACCCCCTCGCCAAGGTCACGTGGGGTCACGTGACCACGGTGTCACGTGACCTCGGGGGTCACCTGACCTCAAAAGAAATTTTTCCGCTAGATTTAGCGGGGAAATTTTTTCGCTAGATTTAGCAGGGACGTGTTTCCGCTAGATTTAGTGGGAAAATTTTTCCGCAAGATTTAGCGGGGAAGTTTTTCCGCTAGATTTAGCGGGGAAAATTTTCCGCTAGGTTTAGCGGAGAAATTTTTCCGCTGGATTTAGCGGGGAAATTTTTCCGCTAGATTTAGCGGGGAAATATTTCCGCTAGATTTAGCGGGGAAATTTTTCCGCTAGATTTAGCGGGGAATTTTTTTTGCTAGATTTAGCGGGGAATTTTATCCGCTAGATTTAGCGGGGAAAATTTGCCGCTAGATTTAACGGGGAAATTTTCTGCTAGATTTAGCGGAGAAATTGTTCCGCTAGATTTAGCGGGGAAATTTTTCCGCTAGATTTAGGGGGGAAATTTTTCTGCCAGATTTAGCGGGGAAATTTACCCATAATGCACCGCGCGGTTACGCCGACGGCGACGCCGACGCCGCTCAAGCCGGAAACGGGCGCCTAAGAGCTGCGCTCTAAAATGAAAGCCGTTTACAACTCCCTGTAACGCCGAATTAGAGCGGAGCTCTTAAGGAGGAGGACGGAAGGGTACTGGGGGGGAGGGTCAAGTGGCCTCGGGTGGCGGGGGGGGGGGGAGGTTCACGTGACCTTGTGGGAGTCACGTGACCTTGGGGTGCCAAGTGATGTCGGGGGGTCACGTGACGATGTCGATGACGTCATTAGTGACGCCACCGATGACGTCATTAGTGACGATGCCGATGTGGATACCGATGACGTCACTAATGACGTCATCAGTGATGATGACGATGCGGATGCCGGTGACGTCATCAGTGACGTCACGGATGACGTCATCAGTTATGAGGAGGATGACGATGCGGATGCCGGTGACGTCATCAGTAACGTCACTCATGATGACATTAGTGATGATGACGATGACGATGCGGATGCCGGTGACGTCATTACTGACGTCACTGATGACGTCATCAGTGGCGATGACATCGACGGGTGGGTCACGTGACCTCGGGGGTATTCCCAGTTCACGTGACCCCGGGGGGTTACGTGACCTGGCTAACCATCGTGACCTTCGTGAGGGTAACCCTAGTAACCCTTGTGAGGGCAACTCTCGTGAACCTCGTGAGGATAACTCACATAAACCCCGTGACCCTCGTGAGCGTAACCCTTTTGAGGGTAACTAACCCTCGTAACCCTCGTTAGGGTTACAAGGGTTAGAAACCCCCGTAGCCCTCGTGAGGGTAACCCTCGTGAGAGTAACCCTCGTAACCCTTACGAGGGTTACTCGCGGTTACGCCGACGGCGACGCCGACGCCGTTCAAGCCAGGAATGGGCGCCTAAGAGCTGCGCTCTAAAAAGAAAGGAACACGAGAATATTTGTCTTGCTGTTCACCTCCAGTAAATTATTATTATTTACGCAGGGATCCTGAATTTGACCCCCACCCCTGTCCGTTTCGATTTGGAAGGGCCTCTTACCGGCGAGCGGTTATGTATCACTAGCGCGAAATTCATGTCACAGACATTAGACCAGCAGTCCTACTGCACTTGCAAAATTTCTCATTTTCAATGTAGACATAAGGCGCCCTTGGAGCAGACTAACTTACCTCTGTCTATAAATTCATGCATAAAGTAACCACCGAGCAAAGAAAGGTGTTTGATAGACATTTACAAATACCCTCGTTTCCTAAAAAGAGATTTCGTAAATTAAGTAATAAGTACCCGCTGGTTTAACTTCTGAGTCTTATCTCTCACCATTTATCTCCAGCTCTACTTGGAATATTTATGTCTCATAAGGATCGAGGAGTAGGCCTTACTTTGGCCACTTAGGGGAAGATAGGGGTTATCGAGAATATCGCCTCGATAAGTATTTTACGACGCATGGCGGTTGCGCGATGTGGGCAGCTTGATATGTTTCGACGAAAACATTATCGATAACGGGGCGCATTCAAGAAGTTAGAAAGTGATGTCTTTTCCCTCGTCGAAAGCTTTTCCCAAAAGCTTTCGACCGGATAAATCATAAAATTCTATTTGAAAAATTAAATTTCTATGGCATTCGAGGGCATTCTCTTGTTTTAATTGAAAGTTACTTAAGCGGTCGGATGCAAACAGTTGAAATTAATGGTTTTTCTTCTATGCTGAAAGCAGTCCGAACAGGGGTACCTCAAGGTAGTGTCTTGGGGCCACTGCTTTTTAATTTATTTATAAATGATGTAGTCGCTATTGCAAGTAACGCCTCATTTGTCATGTATGCCAACGATACTAGTATATTTTTTTTCAGGGAACAATATTGATATAATGATAGCCGATGCAAACACATGTCTGCAAAAGCTTAGTTCATGGACTGTCTCAAATTCCCTAAAAATAAATGAAACCAAAACAAAAGCCGTTATCTTTAAATCAAAAGGTAGAGTGTTCAATCCTAATGTAAAGTTAATGTTGAATTCTTCGGATATTGAATTTGCAAGCACTGTTAAAACTTTAGGCATAATTTTTCATGAACATATGTTATGGGACTCCTATATTCAAAATCTTACACTTAAGCTTTCAAATATCGTAGGAATTCTATATAAGCATCGCCATACATTACCATCTAGTATTAAACTCTTAATTTATAATGCATTGTTCAATTCTCGTATATCCTACTGTAACCTGGTGTGGGCAACCACGACCAGTACAAACCTTAATAAACTTTTTTTATTGCAGAAGAGAGCAATTCGAGTCGTAGCCAATGCGTCGTATTACGCACACACCGATCCACTTTTCTCTAAGCATAAAGTACCAAAAATACAAGAATATTACAAATATAAGCTTGCGACAGTATACGCGGCATCCCTTAAGTATTTTAACCACCCATTACTGCGGTTTTCTAGACTAAGTGTTAAAAATACGGTATACGGAGTACGTAGCGCCGGGTCCCTGAGAGTACCTCGTCCTAGAACAAATTATGGGCTTCAAATGTTACAGCATACATTGCCAACATTAATGAACTTTTTAAGAGACCACCATGTCTGTCTTGATGCACTAAATAAGAAAACAATACGCACAATATTCACTTCTAACTTTTAAACTTTTTTCTCCCGCATAGAATTGCCTGTTTTGTTTTTTCGCCTTTAAAATGTTTCTGTTAACGTTTCCTGTCTGCCGATCGGCCGATAGGGGGCAGGGGCTTTGTCAAGCTGCACATTTTGCAGCTTATTTCCCTGTCTCCGTCACCCATATGTACAAATGGGAGTAAATAAATGAATTGAATTGAATTGAATTGAAATACGTTGCTGCAGTCCTCCCCACGGAGCCTCGTGTAAAATGCTCAAATGCATCCGGACACAGGGAATGTTTTAACCTGCTGCGTTGTAGGTATTGACGCATGATCGAAATATCAATAACTCTGCAACATGTAAGCTAACGCTTCAAACCCCCTTTTAGACGGTCCGCAAAATTCGGATTCTCAAGGTATCGCGCTACGATTTCCTACAGAGGTGCGGTTAGGTGGTGGAAGCATGAAGTGAAAATATCAACAAATAAACCTACTTTGTTCAAAAAAAAAGGTTTCTGGCTATTTGCCGCGGCATTCGCAGACGACGTCATAACCGGGCTCGCCCAGTTGTATGTTCTGCCGAAAGATGGCGCAACGTGATGTACGAGAGTAATGCAGGGCCTCGACCGATCATCTCCCTTACCAAATATAGGAAGCCGTGAGAGATTTAAATAGTTGCTTTCTTATGAGTTTAATTTGTTTTTTTATGAATAAATTATCGCACAATTAGAATTTAACATCAGAGAGACGCGCACCGGTACTCTGAAAAGTTTCCGAAGATCGTCTGCTAAGCTCGGCGCTGGCGCGCTCGGCGCTTCCGACATCTGTCGTCCGCAAAATGAACTAGGCGAGCGCGGTCAGGATGTCGTCTGAAAATGCTGCGGCAGATAGCCCGAAACAGGTTTTACTATTTTCTTTTGTAGCGTGAGCTACACTGGCCGAGGTTGAGCAGTTTTGCGTGGCTCGCATAAGCCGTGCTCTGTACTGCGCATGCGCGAGGTGCAGTGATGTCACATGGCGCACAGCTGGCGCGCCAAAACCGCCGCCGCCGCCGCCGCCGCCGCCGCCGCGCCCGCCTCGCCGGTCTGCGCATTCCAGAGGAGTGACGTCATAGCCACGGCAGACGCACTGGCGCCGCCGCGTGCCCAGCTGTGCGCCTCCGTTGCGCAGTAGCCAAGTCTGACGCCGCACCGGAGCCGCTTGATAGCGCCTCTCGTTTTGTGCGCATAAGCTCATGCTACGTATATCCTGGCATAGCCGAGCTAAGCCACCGCAATTTTTTTGAACAAGGTAAGCTCATCTGTTGGTATTTTCGCACCATGCTTCCGCCATCTGGTTGCACCTCTGTAACAAATCACAGCCTGATACATTGCGAAAAAAATTTTTTGCGGGCCGTCTGAAGGGCCTCAGAAGCGTTAGTTTACATGCTGTAGATCGATTTATAGCCCACAAACACTCTGCGTCTTCTTTGATCAAGCTGAACATCTATAGATTTCAACATGATGAAAATCTACGAAGCAAACACAATAACAACACATTACTGTAAATAAAATACGCAATGGTAGCTTTGCGAGAAAGGCTTGGTTCGCAGCACGTTAATCCTGCGGCATTTTTTAAATGTTTCGCTCTATTTAAAATGAGCATAGGTCTCCGGGGTAAAATGTTTCGGATCAGTCTAAAGCCCGCCTGAATCATATGTAGGCTCTAGACTAAATCGGCTCAAAGATTCTTTTTAGGCAATTCCTATGTTTCCGGAAGGTAAGATTAGTTCGCGAAGGAGTGACAGAGAGGTTAGTTAACTTGGGGCCTTATGCTACACGGCGGGACCAAGCGGAACCAAGGAACCGGGACAATGTCGTCTGCTGCGATTGGCCTAGTGAAGAGCTAGTGATGGAAGAGAAACGTGGTATACAAAAATAATCATAAGGACGACTGTGTATGTTCAATGAGAATTTACAAAACGAAGGGCGTGGCTTCTATGTTCACGTTTCTTGATTCGTGATTCGTCTTCTGGAGTTCTTATAATCACTAATGACGCAAAGTCATTGCGTGCGGAGGGATAATAACATGCTCAACCACGTCCTGTGTTTGTTAAGCTGTTAGTTACTCTATACGATAACAAAAGTCATTGCCAGAGCTAGTATACATTGTAAGAGCATCATCAAATAAAAGCCGTGCGTGCTTTTACCACTGAAAAACCATTACTTAAATAACACGAAGCCTATGAGGTTAATGCACACCGAAGTGTAGGACAAGATATATATCATAATAAGTCTTTACACTATGCACCACTGCAGACACGCAAACAATCGCCTGGAATAAGAACCTTTACACTGGCGCAGTCAAAAGGGGGGGGGGGGGGGGGGGGGAGCAATGAAGAAACATTTCTTTGACCAAGTGTCCACCAATGTGTCACCGTGCAACTGTGAATTATGCGCGGTGTTTGAAAGTTGACTGCCGGGTTATATGAATAACGAGACAAGTTCTGCTAAGTATACACGTGTTCTGATGGTAGAAATGTACACAATTCTTTCTTTTTTTTATTGCAGTGCCCGTATGAGAAGAGCCTGGAGCCATGTAGGGATGTTGCAATAAAATAAGCTTCGAAGATGGACAGGCTCCGACCTTCAAGGTTTCATGGTAATTCTGTTCTCGAACGGAGTTCGCTGCAAGTGGTCATTTGCGTGCAATGTAGCAGCAAAGTGGGCATATTAACTAGTGTTTCCTAGTAGCAATTACTGACGGCTCTAATGACGCACGAGGTTTTCAAGCCTTCAAGGTGCTATCGATATCGCTCGGTGGTGCAAGCAAGATTCCGCATCAATATAAATGAATGTGCGTGACTTGCGCTTACAAATGCCTCCGAGTGAATTCGTGCTACAAAAACCCAAGAAGAAGAAGGAAAAAAAAGATGGTGTTATTCATTATAGCAAATGTAATTTCGTAAAAAAAATTGTTTGTTTTGTTTTAGAGAATAAGTAATGGCGCTTTTGTGCGATACAAAACTCGTACTTCCTTTAGCGATGATCGATGCCCTATAAGGTATTACTCGAGGAAACCTTGTAACTAGCGAACTCAACTGGCATCATTACGGCGGAAAAATACAAAAAAAAAAAAAAGCCAGCTCCTTTTTTCTTTTCAAGACGCACTATCAGTTTTAGCACCTTGGTTACATCATCGCGAGACGAGAAGTGAACTTTTAAGTTTGATTCCTCCAGGCTCCAGCCGTCCGCGGTGTCCTTGAATCCTAAATCAGTTACCAAGGTGCCTAAAGCCACACCCACGCTGCTCGCGTATCATACAGAAGACAGGGCGTTTGCTGCATACACAAAGACAGAATCAGGCAGTTTTGGAATAGCGCACGCTAAGGCTTTGCGTACGCAAAGAATAGCGTCGTCGCTGCCGCGCATGCGCCGAACGCTAACCACGTTTTGCACTTTGCGTGCGCAATTTTAGCGTACGCTATTTTTCGAAAATTGCTTTCGTATACACGAAAAGTCTTCGCGCTTGTTTGCGCTCCTCCAGGGAGGATTTGTGATAAGTTTGCTAATGCGAAGACGAGCACAGTTAAAAAAAGGGCTGCTCCCATGGCGGAGTCGTGAGTTTGACGTCGGCGGCACCCTCGCGACTGCGATTCTTAACACAGGAAGACATTGCACTCATACGTGGAGGTACAGGCCAGAAACGTTTCGCAAACCCCAGCAGGGGGGAGGGAGGGGGGGGGGGGGGGGGGGGGACAACGATCGCCGGCTGCTTGCGACGCGCGAAGGTTTCTCGGAGAAGGTCCTCAGTACACGTGACCTCTCTTGCCGAGGCGACGCAAGCGGATGCGACCGGTAACAAAAATAAAAAACCGAACAAAAAATTGTTTTGTTTCTTAAGTAACAGGCCTTTCGTGCGTAAAATAAAAATTGTTATTGTACCTTGGTGGCGTCGCAAGCGCGACTTGCATGAGCTTTTGCGTCGCGGCTGAGAAACGCTATTCTAAAATACTCTTACGTAGCGTGCATGCGCAAACGCAAGCGTTAAATGTAGCGCTAGCGTGCGCTAAAATTGCGTACATTACTTTAAAGCTCCCCATTATCTGTCAACATGCGTCTCAAGCGTGTTCGAAACACGTTGCTCTACGATGCACACAGTTTTTGTTTTTGTTTTGTTGGTATGAGTACGACCAATGTCACATGACAGTCGAATGCAAGGAAGAAAGACGCCTCAGACAGTCTGTGCAGACTGTCTTTTGTATGACGTATTAGTGGTGTGACCGGGGCTATTGTAGGTATTCCAGGTATCCTGCTCAGAGCATCCCGTTGCAGTGCCCACACCTCGTGCAGAAACTGCGCATTGTCCCGTACCTCGTGGGGGCTTGTTTGGAGAGAGCGCGTTGGCCTATAAGGGGGTATTCGCTGGACGCCGTAGTTGAGGGTGGTGTTTAGTGCGCATGCTCACAACGAGCTCACATTCACAGCCCGCTAAGACCGGCACTCTTGATGGCGCGGAATGCACGCTGCGAAAGAACTGCGGAAGTTCGCTGTCAGCAAGCGCTCACGAGCCGCGCACGCAGATATGGCCGCCAGTGAATACTCCCTATACACGTTTTCTACGTTGGCGCCGCCATTTTCAATTCTGGAACATCCGGTATGCGTGAAAACATCGCTTCCTTCTCGCCTCGACAGTAGAACGTGTTAACATTTTAATTGCAACTGTCAGTCGTTCTCGTTATTACCCTTCTATGCTATTTTACTTGTTCGGGGTTGTAATCTCTTGCTTTTTGTTCGGAACGCATACCGGATAGGGGGACAACGCGGCTGGGTGCGAGGCTAAACGAAAAAGGTGGATAGGGAGTATTCACCGGCGGCCATAGCTGTGTGCGCGGCTGGTGAGCGCGTATTGACGGCAAACTTTTGCAGTTCCTTTGCAGCATGCATTCCGCTCCATGAAAAGTGTCTGTCTTAGCAGCCTAATAACGCGAGCTCGTTTTGAGCGTGCTCTCTAAATAGCACCCGCAAATGTGGCGTCCAGCGAATACTTCCTCTAGAAGTGGTGCCTGAAGCGTGTCTTCGACTAGTGTGTTTAGCGTCCTATGCAAGTCGCTTACGTCAAATTTTCCTCCAGGTTGGTCTTTTTTACAAACCTGTTGACCATCACAGTGTTAGACGTTACTTGTCGGTGCCGAGCCCCTTTGCTTTTGTCTTTGTGCTTTGTCATTTTGAAGCGTACAGTGCTTACGTGACTTGTGTATTGTGCTAGGCAGCATCCATAGTAATAGGGAGTATTCACTGGCGGCCGTAGCTGTGTGCGCTAATGCTGAGCGCGTGCTGACGGCGAGCTTCCACAGTTCTTTTGCTACGTGTATTCCGCACCATCAAGAGTGCCGGTCTTAGCAGCCTATTGATGTGAGCTCGTTCTGAGCATGCGCTCTAAACAGCACCCACAAATATGGCGTCCAGTGAATACTTCCTATAGAGATAATGCTGCTACTTTCTGGCAGTGTAGAAATGAACCCTGGTCCGTTCACGCAAGAGCAAACTAAGAGAATACTAGAAGTCTTGGAGGTATACTACCGGGCATACACAAAAACCAAGACGTAATTTTGGCTGAAATGGCGGCAATCAAGCAAACACAAACATCGCTCGAAGAAAAACTATCATCTGTGTTTTCAACACTAGAATCACTTAAAAAAGACGTTACTTCACTGAACTCCCTTGAGACTAAAGTGCAGCAAATACAAGTTGAATCCACGGAACTTACCGAGCAGTTAAACCAGCTGGCAAACAGGCATGATGATATAGAAAATCGCTATCGGAGAAATAATCTAATTTTTTATGGTGTTGCCGAGGATACAAATGAAACATGGGCAACGTCCGAAACAAAAGTTCCGCAGCTCTGCGAAACTGTGCTATTGACCATTCACATGTGGAACGCGCTCACCGACTGGGTAGACACAATGCAGAGAGGTCCAGGCCAATCATAGTAAATCGTTCCTCGTTCGAAACAAAGCAAATTATACTATCACAAACGCCCAAGCTAAAAAACAGCGGAATATCTATCGGCGAGGACTTTTCTGTAAACGTGCGTCATGAAAGAAGCAAGTTTCTGGGATTTGCCAGGACAAAATAGTCAATTAAACTACGCTACAACAGACTAATTATTGGAAACAAAGTATTTTACTATGACAGCAATGAACAAAGAGTAAAAGAGAAAAGAATCTAGCAACCAGTACAAATTCCACGGGCTGCCCTCAAAAATACAATAACTGTGAATGAACTCGATGTACTTCTCGTGATTGTCGTGGTGTAAAAAATAAAAATGATGATTTAGCAGAGCTTGTTAATCTGACAAGGCCCAGTATTGTAATGGGTACAGAGTCCTGGCTTGATGACTCAATCAAAAGTGCAGAAGTTTTTCCACCTGACTATACTGCTTATCGACGAGACAGAAATGGGCATAGTGGAAGAGTATTCCTGCTGACTCATAACAGTCTGCAAAGCACCGCCATTGACTTTTCGCAATTTTCATTTGAGTCTGTTTGGTGTAAGGTGTCGCTTCGAAATGGCCACTTCCTCACAGTCGGTTCATTCTATAGACCGCCTGCGTCTGGTGACGATTCCATTCCTTCTTTAACAAATGCTCTTTCAACAATTTCTTACGACTACCTTGTACTGGGAGGCGACATTAACTTTCCTGATGTTAACTTTGTTGTTGGCTTATCGATCAGTACAAACTTATCCACACCTTACAAGACCTTTATTGAATTTGCCTTAAGTTTCTCTTTATACCAACACGTTACATTTCCTACAGGACTAGACCACAGGAGGGACAGCACGCTAGACCTAATCTTTAGCAGTGAACGTTCTGTTATCTCTTCCATTTCCGTTGTTCCCGGTATCAGCGATCACGAGGTGGTAGTTGGGACAGTAAAATGCGCAAAAGAAAAAAAAAAAAAAACGCAGAGGAAAATTTATTTTTACGATCAAGGGGACTGTTCCGCTTTATCTGACCAACTTTTTGATTATTTCCAAGATTTCAAAGAATTCAGCTACCACTCTGATGTGGAAATGCTATGGGATACATTAAAAAATAAATTAAAATCTTTAATTGAAATTCATATTCCTTTAAAAGTTACAACCGGAAGAAAACGCGAAGACAAGCTTTGTATAAACAAAGAACTACGGACAACCATTAAGAACAAAAGGCGTGTGTATTCTAGATATAAAAAAAAATGGAAAGCAGAGCCTCCTGGTCAGTCTATATAAAGGAACTAACAGCGTTTTCTAAAAGCAAAGCGAAACACTACAAGAATGATTTTCTAGCACCTCTTGATCATAAGCTCAAACGAAATCCGATGACATTTTGGAGGTACGTGAAAAGTTCGGGCAAAGATGAGACAGGAATTCCATCTATCAGACTTGAGACGGATGGTAGATAATCGGGCTGAAAAAGCGAGGCTTTTTAATAGCTATTTTGAATCTGTGTTCTCGCCTCCTATAGTGAATAACCCTTCTCTTATTTTTGAGTCTTTAGAGGACAGCATGTTGGATATTGAACTTTGTCAAGATGAAATTCTTAATTTACTAAACAACATTGACTCTGGCAAGGCCACTGGGCCTGACGGTA